ACCCACACCCACACCCCACACCCACACCCACACCCACCCACACCCCAGAATTGCTTCGAGTTCCCTTAAATACGTATGGAATCCCAGGAATGGATATGGACCTGGTCTGAAACTCACTGGACTTCGCTTGAGACAACTATAATTCCCATGGAGTCCAAACAATTGTTATACAATTCGCCTGGAATTAGTTCGATCTGGACCATTTTTCCTACAATTCGTATGCAATCCTAGAAATTAGTGTGGAATTGGTTTCAAACTGGCTAGGCTTGCCTTCAGCCGGCTACAACTCTTATCGAATCCTACAAATTTATATGGAATTGGTCTCAAACAGGCTAGGCTTGGTTTTAGCTGGCTATAATTCGTACGGTGTTCTAGGAATTTATATGCAATTGGTTTGCAACTGGCTAGACTTGGAATTCCCTTAAACTAGCCAGCTTAGGCCAAGCCTAGCCAGTTTGAGACCAATTCCATAGGAATTTCTATGATTCGAGAAGAATTGTAGTCAGCTAAGGCCAAGCCTAGCCTGTTTGAGACCAATTCCATAGAAATGTCTACGATTCCATAAGAATTGTAGCCAGCTGAAGCCAAGCCTAGCCTGTTTGAGACCAGTTCCATAGAAATTTCTGGGATTCTCTAAGAGTTCTAGTTAACACAAGCCAAGTGTAGCCAGTTTCAGACCAATTCCGTACCAATTCCTGGGATTCCATACGCAGTTTAGGTAGCTCCAGCCAATTGTAACCAATTCCAAGTCCAACCAATTCCTACCAATCCCAATTCCAACCAATTCCAACTCCGACCAATTCCAAGCCAAGAATTGGAATTTGAATTGATTGGAATTGGAATTGGTGCATCCCTACTAATTCGAAAACTATACGAAAAAATGTTGAAGATGAATTTTTCATAAAAGACTAATAATCAATCATACTGATTAACATTATCGTTAAACTAAGTATTGTTTAAACAAATTCATCTTTGCACAGTTCATCGTAGTTTTTATGAAGGATTTTAATAATGTTTATCGATAAACTTATGCATAAGTTATATTCTATTGTCAAAAATTTATAGATAATGTCATTAAAAGAGAGAATATGAAATGATGATTACATTAATGTCTTGTTTATTTTCGGATATGACAAAGCCTGGTTTCTTGCCGTTTCTCATGCGATATTCACACTCAATTTTGATCGTGGAAGATGCTGAAAATATAGTCCGTGATCGAAATCAAGACATTTTTATAACCAATCAAGCTGTTTCCAATCTGTTGAACCTTTCCGATGGTCTACTTGATGATGCTATGCATCAACAAATCATTTGTACATTTAATTGTGATGTCAAAAGTATCGATTCTGCTCTTCTACGCGATGGACAACTTGTCGTCCAACATAAATTTGATAAACTAAATGTTGAAAATGCTCGTCGTTTATGTCTAGAATTGGGCATACCTGGGAGTGGCGATAATATTCACAAATCAACATCCTTAGCAGAGATTTATGCCCGACAAAATGCAATATCAGGAGATTTGTCGAACGATCTTGAAAATGGACAGACATCATCAAAAAATAAACGACAATCTAAAAAAAATAAGAAGCAAGTATCGGATCCGTTTTTTAGTTTTTATTCATAACTTTTTTTAGTTTTTATTTAACGAAGGTAAAAACAAGAGATTATATAAAATCATGTTAATCTATCTTCTTGTTAATAATAAAATTTAAAGGGTGTGGGTGGGTTGTGTGGGTGTGGGTGGGTATGAGTGTGTGGGTGGTTGTGTGTGTGTGTGAGTATGGATTTGGATGTCGTTTAACTTAAGACTCAGCCACATCCACACCCATAAAAATGTATTCGTCACCTAACAAAAGAATCGGTCTTATTTTTTTGTTTTCAGTTATTCAGATTAGTTTTGTTAAATATCATTGCTTCCATTGACAGGTGATGGGCAGTTAGCCATTTTTTCTCACAATATCTATTGATGTGAATGGTTTTATCACAATCAAACATGTAAAACAATTTCGAAATATATTTTAAAAAGTGAATATGAGAACCAAAGCACAGCACAATGGCGTTCTTAATAACGATTCTAACTCTTCTCTCTTTAGCTGGTATATCACAAGCGGCATTATGTCCATTAGTTTTCACTCAGAAGAATTTCACCGTTACCAAAGTTTGATCCTTGTCTGTGGTATCCATCTAACTTTTCGTTTTAGTATACAGGTGTTTGGTATGAAACCTATCGACGTGATATCAAGGAAGTTGATACCAAATGTAACAATGACACATTTACGTCTAATGCTCATGGAACCATGGATGTATTGAGTCGAGGTTTACATACACTCTGGTTACTATAGTCATCGAGGTTTAGCTAAACCTAGACTACCTTCAGAGCCAGCTGCTTTTATCATTCATTATACAGACTTAAGTAATGATCTTTGATCGCTTTTTGTCATTATCAATCAATGGTCATTTTTTGAATAGCTGAGACGGTCAAGTATAATGTAATTGCAACTGACTACGAGCAATATTCAATAGTTTATTCCTGTGAATATATTCCTATTTCAGGCATTAGATTCGAAAATGTTTGGTTCTTTTCGTGAGTTCTAATTCATTTTTTTACATATAAGAATATATTTCTTTCGTTTAGATGAAAGAAAACTTTGCCAGATGCAACATTCAAGGAACTTAAAAATATTCTAAGACACAAGGGTATCGAAACAGATGACATCAATCCAACACCACAAGACTGTTGACAATAAAATATTACTATCGATCCAATATGTAATAAACATTGTGTATCTGATAGATTCTTTGGTTTTATGAAATCAAAAACGCGCTTATCATTGAAGAAAATATTTGACACGAACAAAGATATTTTTTTTTGAGAACTTGAAATAAAAGAACAACAAGCCATTCTAATAAACATGAACATGACAAAAACATCGCTCAAGACAATATCGCTTTGTGGTGATGATGACGATGAGAATGTAAACCTGGCATCAGCTTAAGCCCCCTCAAAAACCGATCTCAGCTAAGATACATGCTATAAACGTGAAATTTTCACGATTTATTGATACTAACTTGAGGAGGGTGTGGTAAATTTTTCAGCTCAGTATTATGTGTCTGGAGGAAGATATTGGCCAAACAAGGGTAAAAAAATAGCTCATGTTGTCTGCCAGAATTCTCTGTAGGTCTTCATTGAATATATATGTATTTTTTGTTTGTTTGAAAGAGCGTCAAAAACTGCAGATGCTCTCAGGCTCCTTTTCTACATTCTTACTTTATATATGAAAAAGATCAATAGAAAGTTCAATGTCTCAAAAGACTAATTGAAAATAGGCAAAAAAGTGGGTATCCATTCATATATATGTCTGTTTTTGTACTAAGGGTGTGGGTGTGAATATGAACTGAATTAAGGTCAACATACCCGCACCCACAGCCCACACCCACACTCACGCCCAAATTGAACAGTTGCTCACTAACTCTAGTAGAAATACATCACAATTTAAAGGAGTAAGAATTTTTAATGAAATTCCTAATTCACAAATGAATTTATAGGGT